CCTCACACCGTCCACACCTTCTGTCCACCTCACACACGCCCCACCTCACACCGTCCACACCTTCTGTCTGCCTCACACACGCCCCACCTCACACCATCCACACTCTCTGTCCATCTCACACATGCCCCACCTCACACCGTCCACACCTTCTGTCCGTCTCTCACACACCCCACCTCACACCCCACACCTTCTGTCTGCCTCACACACGCCCCACCTTACACCGTCCACACCTTCTGTCCACCTCACACACGCCCCACCTCACACCATCCACACCTTGCTTCTGTCCACCACACACACATCCCATCCACCTCATAGACTGACCTCATAGAGTGCAATTAGGAGAAAATCTGGGATCAGGGACAAGGGCCACGTGGTTCTACCCTCAAAAGCCATGGGTGACTCACCAACATCCGAGTCTTTGTGGGTCTTGATGACCTCAGCGAGCTCAAAGTTCCCAGCGATGATGGCAACCTGGGGGCAGGGTGAGTGGACAGAGAAGAGTGTGCACATGTCACAGCCCTGGGGAGGGCACCACATACTGTGAGCACAGGTGAGGGTCTGCCCACACCAGTAGGGGAAAGAGTGAGAGAGGTAGGGTCCAGGGGCCCACAGAGGCCACAGTGAGATCAAGAAGAGTGAAGAGAGACAGAGCAGGACCAAGTCTAGGATCCTCCAGACAAATCTGCTTCTTGGGGTACACAGGGAAGAGAGGCTGACTTTTCCAAATTTGGCTTGCTGGGTCAATGAGGGCTGCCTAGTATGTCTGGACTGAGGGGGCTTCTGGGACACAGGCCTTTCAAGATCACCTTCCCAGAATCAGCTCAGCCCAGCACTTCAGTCTCACACATTCCTGGCCAGCACCCTCTTCTGACAAGCCCAAAGCCACTTACACCCCATCTCAACCTGGCCAGCCAGCCCTCAATACAGAGACAGCAGCCCATAGCACTCCTCACAGCCCTTCAAGACTAGCCTCCTTGAACCCAACTGGGACTGAACTCACCTCTACTCTGAGATCTGTAAAAGTTTCTCAACACTGAAATCCAAGGCAACACCTCTCCCTTAGCCAGAGGCTCATGACATGACCCACTTAGCAAACTTCAGTTCCATCAGGCCCTCATCCTCAATCTATCTCAAGAGCTTGGTGGTCTGTGAGTTAGCCAGGAAGTGTCTCCAAAGAGAGAGAGGGACACAAAGACTTCCCAGAGAGAAGACCACAAGAAGTATCCCCAGAGAGAGGACCATCTCTAGGGAAGACCAGGAAGTGTCCCCAGAGAGAGAACAAAGAAGTATCCCTCAGATAAAGGACCAGGAGGAATATCCAAGAAGAGAACCAGGAAGTGTCCAAAGATAATAGGCAGCAAGTACCCCCTGAGAAAGACAAGGAAGTGTCCCCAGAAAGAGAACAAGGAACAAGGAAATGTCCTCAGGTAAAAGGCCAGGACATGTCCTCAGAGAGAAAACCAGGAATTGTTCCCAGAGTGAAGATCAGTGTCCCAAGAGAGGGCAGGAATGGTTCCCAGAGCTGTAGCAGTAATGGCTTATGGCATCACAGCTTGGACTACCTCTGAGAGGTCATTTCATCATCTCCCCCAAGCCTCCTGCCCTGTCCACCTTCCCCACTCCCTGGAAAGAGGTCAAGAAACTGCCCATGGGACCCCTCTTTACATGCCTCTCCAGCCTCCTTTCAGCACTCCATAAATAGTAATCAGAAAAGGGGAAGCCAGTGTCCACTCTGCAAGTCAAGGACCAACAGACACAAGCAGACAGACAGATACATGCCCCAGACCCAGACTCCAGATCCAAGACAATCTGTACCACACGTACCTGGAAGGCTGTCTGGCTGTTGTAATTGCGAACATCCTTATTGGCACCACGGAAGAGAAGGACACGGGCACAGCTCTCCTAGAGAAGGAAAGAAGGAATGGGGAAATCAGGACAGTGCAGGCAGCGGAAGGGCTCAAGAGTAGGATGCTGACCCTCAGAGCAATCACACATACAGACACTGCCAGGTACTAAGTGGACAGCACACATACACCATGCCCATGTTGGGACAAGATTGTATACAGGTAACACAGCACACAGGACCACCACACATCCATGTCAGGATAGTAGTGCATACAGGTAACGCAGCACACATGCTCACCACACCCACGTCAGGACAAGATTGTAAACAGGTAACGCAGCACACAGGACCACCACATACTCATCAGGACAAGATTGTATACAGGTAACGCAGCACACAGGACCACCACACACCCATCAGGACAAGAGTGCATACAGGTAACACAGCACACAGGACCACCACACCCACATCAGGACAAGATTGTAAACAGGTAACGCAGCACACAGGACCACCACATACTCATCAGGACAAGATTGTATACAGGTAACGCAGCACACAGGACCACCCCACACCCATCAGGACAGTAGTGCATACAGGTAACACAGCACACATGCTCACCACACCCACATCAGGACAAGATTGTACACAGGTAACACAGCACACTTCATGATCATGCCCACGACAGGACACGACTACATATAGGTAAGTAGCACACATGATCACCATGCCCACACAGGGAGAGGAGTCCAAACAGGTAACACAGCACACACACTCATCACACCTAATATACACAGATAACACGGCACACACGCTCACCACACCTACTACATACAGATAACACAGCACATGCGCTCACCATGTCCATGTCAGGCATGAGAATACAGGAAACACAGCACTCGTTCAACTTATCTACTATACAAGGGTAACACCAATTAACAAGTCCAGTTTGAAGAGTTCCACTTAGCCTGTGTTCTGTTTCTTCAAAACATGCAAGTGCACGTGTAGCAAAAGGGTATAACTATACTATGTTACAAGGTCATAGTGCAGTCTCACGATACCACACGCAGAGGAGCTTGGTGTGGTGCATACAAGACCCCACCTTACCATTCAGGGCTCATCTATGCACACGCCCAAGTCCCACCTGCAAGGAGACAAAAGGCTTCACATACACACTTACTTATATGGCAACTTCTCAATGCACACGTACATATGTGTATCCACACCTCATTGTACATACACAGAGGATGACATGCACACACACTTATGTGTAATCACACATCTTTGTACACAGTGAATGAGGCACACACACATGTAATCATAGATCATTGTACACAGTGTTGTTACTGTTGTTGTTAGGTGCTGTCAAGTATGACCCATAGAGCTCCTATGAACAACAGATCGGAACCTTGTCCTATCCTGTGCCCTCCTCAACCTTTCAGACACACTAGAGCCCATTGTGGCAGTCAGCATGTCAATCTACCTGGACAAAGATCTTCCTCTCCTTTATCGACCCTCTGCCTTTCCAGGCATCAGGTCCCTCTCCAAGGAATAGCCCCGGTTAGCAACATGCCCAAAGTATGTGGGATGAAGCTTGATCATTTTTTCCTCCAAAGAGCACTCCGGCTGCACTTTCCACAAGACATCTGTTTGTTCTTTTGAACATCCATGGGATGTTCAGTAGTTTCCTCCAACACTACAAGTTTTCAAAGGTGCCAATTCTTCTTCTGTCATCTTTATTCATTGTCCAACTCTCAGATGCATAGGAAGTAATAGGAAAGACCATGGCCCGAACCAGGCACACCTTAGTCCTCAAACTGACATGATTACTCCTCAGTAATTTGGACAGTTCCCTAACTGCAGACTTCCCCAGTGCAATACATTATCTCCTGATTTCCTGACTGCTGTACCAAGGGTGCTGGTTGTGGATCCAAGTATGATGAAGTTGTTGACAGTTTCAATCTTTTCTCCATCTATCACGATGTTGTGTATTGATACAATGTTAAGAATTTTTTGTTTTCTTGATATTGAAATGTAATCCACATTGAAGACTATGCATTCTTTGATCTTCAGCAATAAGTACTTCAATTTCTTCTCACTTTCATAGGCAAGGTTGTATCATCAATAACTGATGAATCTTTTTCTGATCTTGATGCCACATTCTTCATAGAGTTCAGCTTCTCAACTAATTTGCTCTGCACACAGTTTGAATAGGTAGGAAGAGTGAATACAGCCCAGATGCACTCCTTTCTTAATTTTAAACCATGTAGTTGTTCTCTTGCTCTGTTCACACAACAACCTCTTGGTCCAGGTATAGGTTTCACACAAACACAATTAAGTGCTATGGGATTCCCATTCTTCTCAATGTTAGCCATAACTTGTTATGATCCACACAGAATGCACAGCAAATGAAGCATAAATAGACAGTCTGGTATTATTTACTTTTAGGCAGGATCCATCTGACATCAGCAGTGATATCCCTGGTGCCATGGCCTCTTCTAAATCCTGCTTGAAATTCCAGCTATTCCCTATCTATGTACTGTCCTAGCCATTTTTAAATTCTCTTCAGTAGTATTTTGCTTGAACGTGTTACTAATGATGTTGTCCAATAGTTTCCATACTCTGTTGGATCACCTTTCTTGGGAATAGGAACAAATATGAACCTTTTCCAATTTGCTGGCCAGACAGCTGTCCTCCAAATTTCCTGGCACAGACAGCTGAGCACATCCAGGGCTGCATTTGTTAACTGAAACAAGTCAATGGTATCCCATCTATTCCTGGAACCTAATTTTTTGCCAATGCCTTCAATGCAGCTTCCACTGCCTCCTTCATTACCATTGGCTTCTGCTCACGTGGTACATCCTGAAATTTTTCAGTGTCAGTCAGCTCTTTTTGGTACAATGATTCTTTGTATTTCCTCCATCTTCTTTTGATGTTTCCTGGATCATTCCACAAATGCCCATAGCATATCTGAATATTGCCACTCAAGGCTTAAAATTATTTTTCAGTACGCTCAGCTTGAGAAATGCAAAGCAAGTTCTTCCATTTTTATTCTCCAATTCCAGCTCTCTGCACATCCCATTATACTATTTCGCTTTGTTTTCTTGAGCTGCCCTTTGAAATCTTCTGTTCAGCTCTTTTAATTGGCATGTTTTCCCTTTGTCTTGGCTTCTCGATGCTTTAGTGTAATTTCCAGAGTCTCTTCTGGCATCCATTTCAGTTTTTGCTTTCTCCTCTGTGAGGCACACATATATGTGTAATCACACATCACTGTACACACAGAGGATAAGGCACACACTCTTACACATACAGTCTTGTTTCACTGTATACACACAGAGGATATAGTGCTCACACACCCAGTCATGCCTCACTGTATATGTGCACAAAGACAGCTCACAAACGTGCATGTATGCACAGTCACATTTCCTCATACACATACAAAGAGAATGTGCCACACACACACACATATATGCACACTCACTCAACCCTTATGGTACATGTACACAAAGGATGTGGCATGCACACACACATACACACACATGTGCATGACACCTCATAGTACACATACATGGAGGAAACAGCACACATACCATCACACTTGATGGCACATAAACATGGACGTGGTACACACACAGTCACATCTCACTGACATGCACATACAAATGCAGGGCACACAGCTGTGCTGACTGCAGAGGGCACTGTAAGGCCACATAGACATACTTGGTTGTAGAGAGCACAGATGTGCAGGGCCGTGTTGCCTGAAGCATTCTGAGCTCCCATGTCAGCTCCATAGAACAGCAGGTGTTCCAGATGTTGGACATGGCCAAAGCGGCAGGCCTGGGATAAAAAAGTGCTCAACAAGATGGCCCCAGCCCACAAACAGGGACCAGGATGTCCCCAACCGTATTTAGCCTAAACCCACAGATAAGGCCAGGATCCTATCAGATGGAGGTCAGCCCACACGTACAGAGAGAGCCAGCATGCCCTCAAATAGGGGTTAGCCCATGCCTACAGACAGGACAAGGATCCTAGCAGATGGGGGTCAGCCAACACCCACAAACAAGGCAAAGATCCCCTCCGATAGGGGTCAGTCCATTCCCACACACAAGGCCAGAATGCCCTCAGATGGGGGTCAGCCCACGTCCACAGACAAGGTCGGGATGCCCTCAGATGGGGGTCAGCCCATGCCCACAGATAGGGTCAGGATCCCCCCAATAGGAGTTAGCCCCAACCCACAGACAGGACCCAGAACCCCCCAGATGCAGTCAGTCCCTGGCCACAGCCGCAGGCCTACCTGGTGGATCTCTTGCCAGCCGTTCTCATCCGTGGCCCCAAGCTGGGCATGGTCATGGAGGAGCAGTTCACAGCAGAGGGCATCCCCGCCCCCCAGGGCACTGTGGTACAATGGTGTCAGGCCACGGCTATCCTTGTAGTCAGGAGATGCTCCAAGGTCCAGCAGAGTCTAGGGACAAATAGCCTCAGTGTCCATGTGGAGTCTCCAGCCACTTCCACCCACACGCCCACCAGACTGGGGTACTGCTGACCGTCAGGGCCGCTGCATTCCGCTGTCGTGTGGCACAGTGGATTGCTGTCAGCCCATCCCGGGTGCGGAAGTCCAGGTGGGCACCGCCATTCCTCAGCACCTTCAGCAAATCTGTGGCATTCTCCAACTGGGCAGCAAGGCTCAGGGGACACTCTGGGGCCAGGGCAGAGGCAGATGGCAAAGGTTATGCCTAGCCATCCAATGCCCATAGTACTGTGTTCCTGTTTGCTCTTCCTGCCCAGGGCCTTACCTCCTGAGTCGGGGTCATGGAAGTTGGGGTCCAGCCCCTTGTCCAGCAGGCGGGCTACCTTATCCGTGCTATGCAGCTGCACGTAGTCCATGAACTTCTTCAGGTTGGCCTGGAGCATACATCAGCCTGTCAGCCTACACCCCTGTCCACATCCTGATGCACTGAGCTGTGTCCAGTCAATGCTCTCATCATCTGAGTCTGCCATATGCCTGTGCCCCCCTCAGTTGGGCTTGCCACCTGCCCATGTCACAAAGGCCCGCTCAACTCGATCCACGCACGTCAAACCCTTCCTGCAGCCCAAGCATTCTGTCAATTGGAACCTGACTCTTCCCACAGTGAATCTCAGCCACTCTGCCCGAGAGGCCCATCCTTGGCCCAACATCCCACCTTGCCCTGCCCAGTGGAGTCAGAGTGCTCTGACAGGAGCCAGCTCCATCCTGAGCCCCATCCTGCATTCTGATGGCTGGCCCTCTTGAAGAACTTAGACAGGGGTCAGGCGCACCAGGTAACTCCCACAAGTACATCCTATCTGTACAATACCCGGACAGCACACATCTACCAGAACATACCCCATCTGTACATGCTCCACCGACACAAGCCCCACCAGGACATACCCCACCTGCACACACCTCACCTGCACACGCCCCACCAGGACACACCCCACCTGTACACATCTCACCTGCACACCCCTACCTATCTATACACATCCCACCAGGACATGCCCACCTCCACATGCCCCAGCAGCACACACGCCTCTGCATACACACCACAAATACAGGAGCGGCAGAACACAGGGGCACTAACCCTGTTCTAAGGGGTTTAGAGCTCAGCTCCACTGACTATACCATTGTGAGCAAACACTTCCCTTTACTGAGATTTGTCCTTATCTGTGAAAGGGGTAGTGGCATATATCTCAGAAACAATTCATGGGACAAGTAAGGCACCAGTCCATTCCTATCACTCTATGTCACAGTGCCCACCTGAGGCCACCTGTCAAGGATTACACTCCTCCCAATCATGGGGCCTCTAGTCACCCCAGCCAAGCGCCCTGAGCCCCTAAAGCACAAAAGTCACAGACAAGCTGGGGGTGGAGGGAGAGTCCTCACACCCAATCAGGGTGGGGGATGCTGAGAGGCCACCTCCAGAAAGGAGCCAGCAAGGTGCAGTGAATGGAGGACACTGCCTCATGGAGACAGGGGCAGGCACGGAGGGCCTCCAGGTTCTCCCCGACTGACTTCTTACCTTCGTGTGGAGCTTTGCAAACTGCTTATCGTCAATGAGATTCTGTGCGTAGACACGGCGTTTGTACCGGAACTACAGAGGTGGAAAGAAAAGACGTCTGCTGGCTATGGAAGAGCAGAGGCTGCAGGCCGCCACCTTCACCCCACACTCCCACTGACAGCACCTCTCAAACTCAGTGTGTGCAGAACTGCTGTCCACGACACAACGGAACCCCACAGCACCTGGTCACATGCACACCCTGTGTGCTGGTCACACAGCTGACTGATCACCACACTTGAGCACAGCAGGGGACAGATGCTTAGCTCGCTGTCCAGTGCCTGGCAGGCCCTGCCTGTTCCATCCCCATCCCCAGGCTCCCCTGGAAAATCCTACTTTCCATGACCCAGTTTCAGATTTGCAATAGACATCCCTGTCTAACGTGGGACAGACTCTGCCTTCCGGTCACCAAAAAGGCCAGGCATCTCCAAGCTCAGTGACCATGATGTTCATCTCAGTCATGACCGACCAGAGCCTGAGTGTCAGTCAGGACTGTGGCTCTCAATTTGGTGCCCACCTGAAGGGGAGCTGGCCAAGGAGGTTCTGCCTTCAGATGACCTGAGGTGTCTACAGGAAGCACACACAAATCACACACTCCTCCTGTACTCACGCTGTTCATGCCCTACCTACACACAGAGCCGTGCTCACAACTACCACACACACTGCTCACACCACACACACTGCTCACACTACACACACCACTTACACCACACAATCCCTCACGCCACACAATCCTCACACCACACACCCCTCACATTAACACTCAGCTCACACCATACACGCTGCTCAGCACACACTGCTCACACCACTTATACCACTCACACAATACACTCAAACCACACACACGAATCATACCACTCACACTGCACAAACCACATACTATTTATACTGCTCACACCACACACGCTACTCACATCACACACTCTGTTCACACCACATACACCACACACTCACACCACTGCTCACACCATTTATATTGTTCACACCATTCTTCATATCATGCACGCTGCTCCTCACACACACACTGCTCACACCACACACCCTTCACACCACTTACACTGTTCACGTCACACACAGCTCACACGATGCATACTCCTCACACCACATTCACATCACACGGCTCACACCACTCACATCACATACAGTGCCCACATCACATATGCTGCTCACAGCACACACATTACTCACACCACATACACCTAGCTCACATCATGCACACGCTGTTCACACCATGCCATGGTCATACAGTGCACACTGCTCAGTACACAATTATATACATCTCTGACACACACATATCACTCACATCCTCACCACCCAGCACACCCAAAGCTCCCGGCTCCCACACTAACACAGCCTCGTTACAGTGACCTTCACGTGCACACCCACCTCCCCAACCTCACCCCCAGGTCCCCAGCCCGGTGCTGAAACCTGGCAGCAGCGTGCACCCCGCCCCGCCCCCCACGCACCTCCAGGTAGGGCAGGGGCGTGTCCAGGTTGGGCGGGTACTCCCGCAAGAGCCGCTCTTCATCCAGGAACTTGCCGGCGCGGCCCTGGGAGGGCGGCTGGAAGAGCCCGTAGTTGAGCGCGTCCTGCAGGCTGTGGTTGAGGGTGCACAGCACGCGCTGCTTAGAGGCCCACACGGGCGCGTCGGGGTCCAGGCGCAGACACTTCTGCAACAGAGCAGGATCGTGAGTGCGGCTCGGCGCCCCGGGGGCCCTGCGCAGGGCCCCAAGCCCGGGGCCCCCGCCAGAGTCC